ACGGAAAATATTTTTTTCCGGGACTGTGAGACAGACTAGTGTTTGATCTGTAATGTTTGTTTGAAAATCCATTTGGTGCAATTGAAACACAGCCTTACAACATTGCCCAATGCAGATTTTAATGTTGTAATTGAGAAAGTAATTGATGCTTGATTTGGCAGAAATAATGCAGTATCCTAAAGCATTATGTTAAATGAAAATGTTACAGTTGACCCTGGGATCCCCTACAATTCAGATATGTTTTGCTTGAATAATCCAAACTGAAACAATACGAACATCACAAAGCAGGTATGAATGCATGATAACAGCGGTTATTATTGTTACTTATAATTATAGGGGTTTAAATGGAATCATTGTTCATGAATGTATTTGTATTGTTGTAGAGCTTGCATATGTTGCTTGCATATCGTCTAAAAGTAATTACGAGAGTTTTAGATATGAGTTTTTTAGATAATTAATTTAAAGTAATTTTAGACATTCTTTGTGTAGAGGTTGAGAAATGCTGTGATACCTTGAAATATGTTCCATACTCACACTAGACAGAAGACATACATACATACATACATACATACATACATACATACATACATACATACATACATACATACATACATACATACATACATACATACATACATACATACATACATACACACACACATACATACATACATACATACATACATACATACACAGACACATACATACATACATACATACATACATACATACATACATACATACATACATACATACATACATACATACATACATACATACATACATACATACACAGACACATACATACATACATACATACATACATACATACACAGACACATACATACATACATACATACATACATACATACATACATACATACATACACACACATACATACATACATACATACATACATACATACATACATACATACATACATACATACATACATACACACACACATACACAGATACATGTATGCATGCACGCACGCACGCACACACACATCTATATATGTGGGTTACAACTATATACACACACTGTTCATATACTAATGAAAAACAGTACACCTGATTGATTGTTTAGAAATAAAAGATATTGTTCTCCACACAAGTGTTCATGTTTGTTTTCACAAGATAATGCTTATTCTTAAATGCATGAATTGTATTTTGAAATTATAGTCATACTTACCGTATGATACTTATATTGTTTGACATTGGCTGTGTGTTTATATTATGCAATTGTCCAATTGTGACAATTGAAATGCATTAAAATCGACATCTTTTCCATTTGCCAATTTTGAATATATAACATATTCAAATTGAATTTATCTTAACAACAATTTGAATATATACAACCATGTGAATGACAACCCAAATGCATTGTCAAAAGTTGCCCATTGTCAAATTGACAACTCAAGTTGTTATCTACGACACTTCCCCGTTTGACAACATTTTAGTTGTCAAATTGAAAACATTTTATTACATTTTAACATTTTAACCTGGACCTTCACGGGTGTCTTTGTGTTTCATGTACAGTTCTTGTGTGACAGTTTGGTCAGAATCAAAGGTTAGTTATTATGCATTATAATTTTACATATAGTAAATTAAACCCTAATATTAATCATTACACAAAATAGGTATAAATATGCCCATGATAACAAAAAATAAAAGTCAATACACAATATACCATTTAACGTGTATGAATGTGCTTATGGTAGTTTTCTATATGTGTAGTCAATATGCTAGGCTAGTAGTTGTTGTTTGGTAACTATTTTCTGTACCATGTAAGATTGATATATCTCATCTATCATGTATATTGTATGTACTTGACAAAGATTACATTTGATCAGTGTGTGGTTCTTATATGGGATTAGTGCATGCGTTGATCTGTGCGCCTGGGGATGTGCAGACACATTCTCGTGTAACCCAGGTTTCTTTTGTACAGTATCTACAGTATATTTAATCATTATACTATGTGTTATCATAAGTCTTTATGTCAACACTCATTTTGTATATCACTGTAAACACATGATCACGTAAGTCACCTGTGTTATATTGCATCGCGTAATACCAGTATATGACTGTTGATAGGCACATTTTATGCACTATATTTATTATGATGACATGTTCATCAGATGTGATTTTATGTTATGTTTGTCGTATAAAAGATATTATTGTTATAACAGGGTGTCTTCTTCCACCATTATATTGAAATAAACAGATATCTCACTCATAACCCGTAGTCTGTGGTTAATAACATTGAGAACTCCGCCATATCATGGCTTTGCCACAGGAACACAACTATTAGCGATACAAATGTATTTCTATTTCTTGGAACTTGAAGACAAAAAGAATAATATAAAGCAGGATGTTTTGTAGTCAGGCGGGAGCGGAAGAAAATCTATTAAAGTATCGAATATGGTGTCGAGTAAAAACACCAGACATGCTCATTTTAGCCGACTGCACAAATTGGCCTGTTAGAATTTTGTTTGAAATGAATATGCTAGCCGTATATGATATTGTATCACGGAGAAACTCACTGGGTCTGTGATTATTTGTATAACTGACGGTGTAGCTGCGAATTGATGCGGCTTTAAGCACTATTTTGTCACTCACTGACGTTAATATATTTCCAGCTTCCGGAAACTTTCATGTTTTGACTTTTATTGACATTCATATTCACAATTTCGTTTGTTAAATTATATTTAACATGTTGAGGATTTTTAAGTTCATAGGAAATCGTAAGCGGACTTATATACACTACCCTACACATCGTGTATGTAAATTACATAGCATTTTCAAGCTATGTCATAATTTTGCTTAATGCTACTTGGGAAATTAAAAGAACGAAAGAAGCATGACCATAGCACTACTAAGATGTGCATGCGCCTTGACCTTATGATATTACGCATGCGCAACGACAGCGTCTAAAACGCGAGATCGCGAGAACGCGAGAAAATGAAATGTCGCATTCTCGCATTCTCGCGATTTCGTGTTTTCGTGGCCATATTTGACAAGTCGAGATTGCGAGAATGCGAGATTTGACAGCATGTACAAATGTCGCATTCTCGCGATCTCGACTTTTGACAAAAAGTGCTATGTACCAAAAACACGAGGATGCGAGATCGTGAGAACGCGAGATTTTGGCCAAATCTCGCGTTTTTGCGATCTCGCATTCTCGCACTTTTGGCATTTTTAGCTTGTTTCCAAAGGACGAGATCGCGAGATTGCGAGATCGCGAGAATGTCCCTTACAGTATTCCATAAATGCGGATATTAACCATCCCAAAACACGTGTGATGACCTATATTTCCGTCATTTATGGCAAGTAATTTATACATCGGATGCATAATGTTCTATATACATAATCATAAAAATCAGTTTCCACAGTTACATCAGGCAGTATATCCCGAGTTTCCCTAAAAATAAAATAAAACAACGTCGAACAGAGCTGTACGATAAAAGCGGAGAAATTGAATACTGTTTTTACCGCATAACAAAAATAGCGGAAAACAATTTACAATGTCCCCTTTACAAGCCGCATAAGTATGTGTACTTGAATTTAAGTCATTATCAACTTGTGTGTTATTGTCACTTCCGATCGTTCCAGCTTCATAAAACACGCAGCCAGCGTCACTGATGCAAAACATCATGCGATACAGTAACGGGCCTTTATTCTCGAAAGGATCCTAGCCCTAGGATATCCTAACGTTGATCCTAGGTGTTCTACCCTATTCTCGAAAAGTATCCTAGCGCTAGGATATCCTAACTTAGGACAAATACTAGGATAGGTTCTGACTTGTCCTAAGCCTATCCAAAGTGGGAAGTCAGCATGCTGTGGTTCTTGTTTGTTCACCAGTTTTGACGTTGTCAAACAGAATAACTCGTCTAAATTAAATTTGAAGTTACACCAGCATACAGTTTTCATGGAGTTAGGAAGAGTTTTGAGTTTAAAATTATCAATTTATAGGTAATGAATAGACCCACTTTGTCACAATGCACATATTCTTTAGATTTACAAAAGAGATCTGTTCAATTCCTACCTATTCTCGCCCTTTTCTGTCACATTCCCGTGAAATGTCAATGTCAAGGCCAACTTGTTAGGGGAAGTAACTCCTGTTTTTTCCTAGGTGACTTTTCTCTTTGTGAGATGACGCATAATGTCAGTTCAAGTCATGATTTTTATAAAAAACAAACAAATAATCTGAAAATATGTTTTTGCACATCTTTTGCTTTTTTGGAAGACTTTCAAACTCCGAAGTAAAACTCTGATCTTCTTGTTGAATAAATGAATTTCAAAAAATATTGTAAATCTATTCGAGTACGAGATCTCTAATTTGAAGATATTAATTTTCATTAGAACTATTATGGTTCCTTCTAGATCTACGAAGTCCATCAAAAGCTTAATTGCACCGTTTTCAACCTTTTACTTTGATTTCTAGTCTTTCCATTTATCTTGCAAACAAGATTGTAGGTGCCCTTATCTAAGTGTTTTCATGCAATGAATCATGGGTAATATGTAGGGGAATACCCAACTTAATGAAGGTTTTTCTATCTCATCAACTGAAGCGCTCGCCATCCTAGCTAGGATCGGTAGCTCAAGCTAGGACAGGGATAGGATAGTTTCGAGAATGGATCTTATACTAAAGGTGGGATATCCTAACTTCTGTCTTAACTAGTTAGGATCTGTCTTAGCTGGGACACTTTCGAGAATTGGCACCTTAGTCATCCAGCCACCAGTGTGCTGCACTGTAACACATGGCGCAGAAAACAGCTGGTGGACCTCGGCTCAGTAAGAGGTCAAAATGCAGATGTAAACAAACAGTTTGTTGTTGTCTGTTCTACGATTAGTTAGAAAATATGACGGACACGTAATTAAAACAGATCTACATGATGATATACAGGGTAGACAAACCGACGATACACCATCAATATTTAGTCAGCAATATCCTTACCTGATCGTGTTTCCAAACACAAGAACATGGCGGAAAATGCTCTCATTGTTCAAGTTTTATTTCCCTAAAACACATCAAGTACTCTCACCTTAATACAGACTTATTAACAACGTGCCCACGTGAACGGCTCACGCAATGTCAGTGTCAACGGCTTGCCCTCCATCACTGACCACATCAACACTACACTTTCACTACACTGTGTACCACGATGATGAACAGTTGATTGTGTCCCTTGCCTCTAGCCACGTCGGCCGCTGTATCCCCGTTGTTGTTCCTGGCGTCGATGTCCACCACGTTCAGAGACAGTACAAACTCCACTGTCTTCCTGTCTCCTCCCACACAGGCCCAGTGAAGGATGTTGTCACCGTCATTAGTCACCAGTGACACATCAGCACCTTGCCTTTTACAAGCAAGCTCCACCCAGATCTCTGTGTCCCCGCCCTGCTACCTCCATCACCGGTGTCCTGCTCTCCAATCCTCTACTGTTGATGTCCAGCACGCCCAGTGACAGGACAAACTCCACTGTCTTCCTGTCTCCTCTCATACAGGCGTAGTGAAGGATGTTGTTACCGTCATCGTCCACCAGTGACACATCAGCACCTTGACTCACGAGGAGCTCCACCACATCTCTGTGTCCCTCACAAGCCGCATCCATCATCGGTGTCCTGCTCCACCCTCCTCTACTGTTGATGTCTACCCCGTCCAGAGACAGTACAAATTCCACTGTCTTCCTGTTTCCTCTCTCACACAGGCGTAGTGAAGGATGCTGTTACTGTCATTGTCCACCAGTGACACATCAGCACCTTGACTCACAAGGTACTTTCACCAAATCTCTCTGTCCCTCAGTGCTACCGCCATCACCGGTGTCATCCCGAACACATCTCTACAGTTGATGTCAGTCCAACCTGTGTCCAGGATCCGCTTCATCTCCGCAAGGCTCCCAATCCCGCAGGCGACAAGGAGGTCGGCGTCAGAGCAGGTGTCTCTCTGTTCGGGTGTCGGTGTTGCTGTAACACAAAGTAAACTCTGTACAGAGGTTAGACATTTTATCTTACAGCTACTTTGTTCAGATCTTACCCTGATGATACAAAACATTTGTACACGGGATTTGAAATCTTTATCTTACAGATACATTGTTCATATCTTACACTGAGGATATACAAACACTTGTACACAGGTCAGACATCTTTATCTTACAGGTACATTGTTCATATCTTACACAGATGGTACAAACACTTGTTTCACAGGTCGGACATCTTGATCTTTACACCTACATTGTTCATATCTTACACTGGTGACACAAAAACACTTGTACACAGGTCGGACATCTTTATCTTACAGCTACATTTTTTTACATATCTTACATTGATGATACAAAAACACCTGTACACAGGTCGGACATCTTCATCTTTCAGCTACATTGTTCACATCTTACACTGATGATACAAAACACTTGTACACAGGTCGGACATCTTTATCTTACATCCACATTGTTCATATCTTAAACTGATGACACAAAACACTTGTACACAGATCGGACATCTTTATCTTACACCTACATTGTTCATATATTCTTACACTGATGATACAAAACAATGTGCAGAGGTCGGACATCTTTATCTTAGACCTACATTGTTCATATCTTACACTGATGATACGAAACGCTTGTACACAGGTCGGACATCTTTATCTTACACCTACATTGTTCACATCTTATACTGATGAAACAAAACACTTGTACACAGGTCAGGACATCTTTATCTTACAGCTACATTGTTCACATCTTATACTGATGATACAAAACACCTGTACACAGGTTGGACATCTTTATCTTACACCTACATTGTTCATATCTTACACTGATGATACGAAACACTTGTACACAGGTCGGACATCTTTATCTTTTACACCTACATTGTTCATATCTTACACTGATGATACAAAACACTTGTACACAGGTCGGACATCTTTATCTTACAGCTACATTGTTCACATCTTACACTGATGATACAAACACTTGTACACAGGCCTCGACATCTTTATCTTACACCTACATTGTTCACATCTTATACTGATGATACAAAACACCTGTGTACACAGGTTGACATCTTTATCTTACACCTACATTGTTCATATCTTACACTGATGATACGAAACACTTGTACACAGGTTGACATCTTTATCTTACACCTACATTGTTCATATCTTACACTGATGATACGAAACACTTGTACACAGGCCTGACATCTTTATCTTACACCTACATTGTTCACATCTTATACTGATGATACAAAACACCTGTACACAGGTTGACATCTTTATCTTACACCTACATTGTTCATATCTTACACTGATGATACGAAACACTTGTACACAGGTTGACATCTTTATCTTACACCTACATTGTTCATATCTTACACTGATGATACAAAAACACTTGTACACAGGTCGGACATCTTTATCTTACACCTACATTGTTCACATCTTACACTGATGATACAAACACTTGTACACAGGCCTGACATCTTCATCTTACACCTACATTGTTCACATCTTACACTGATCACACAAATCACTTGTACACAGGTCGGACATCTTCATATTACACCTACATTGATCACATCTTACACTGATGACACAAATCACTTGTACACAGGTCGGACATCTTTATCTTACAGCTACATTGTTCACATCTTACACTGATGATACAAAACACTTGTACATAAGTCGGACATCTTCATCTTACAGCTACATTGTTCATATCTTTCATTGATGACGCAAAACACTTGTACACAGGTTGACATCTTAATCTTACAGATACATTGTTCATATCTTACACTGATGATACAAAACACTTGTACATAAGTCGGACATCTTCATCTTACAGCTACATTGTTCATATCTTTCATTGATGACGCAAAACACTTGTACACACAGGTTGACATCTTAATCTTTACAGATACATTGTTCATATCTTACACTGATGATACAAAACACTGTACACAGGTCGGACATCTTCATCTTACAGCTACATTGTTCACATCTTATACTGATGATACAAAACACTTGTACACAGGTCGGACATCATCATCTTACAGCTACATTGTTCATATCTTACACTGATGACACAAAAACACTTGTACACAGGTCGGACATCTTTATCTTACACCTACATTGTTCACATCTTACACTGATGACACAAAACACTTGTACATTGGTATGGTCGGACATCTTCATCTTACAGCTACATTGTTCACATCTTACACTGATGATACAAAACACCTGTACACAGGTCGGACATCTTTATGTTACAGATAAATTGTTCATATCTTACACTGATGATACGAAACGCTTGTACACAGGTCGGACATCTTTATCTTACACCTACATTGTTCACATCTTATACTGATGAAACAAAACACTTGTACACAGGTACCTAGGACATCTTCATCTTACACATGTTTATCTTACACCTACATTGTTCACATCTTATACTGATGATACAAAAACACTTGTACACAGGTCGGACATCATCATCTTACAGCTACATTGTTCATATCTTACACTGATGACACAAAACACTTGTACACAGGTCGGACATCTTTATCTTACACCTACATTGTTCACATCTTACACTGATGACACAAAACACTTGTACACAGGTCGGACATCTTCATCTTACAGCTACATTGTTCACATCTTACACTGATGATACAAAACACCTGTACACAGGTCGGACATCTTTATGTTACAGATAAATTGTTCATATCTTACACTGATGATACGAAACGCTTGTACACAGGTCGGACATCTTTATCTTACACCTACATTGTTCACATCTTATACTGATGAAACAAAACACTTGTACACAGGTCGGACATGTTTATCTTACACCTACATTGTTCACATCTTATACTGATGATACAAAACACTTGTACACAGATCGGACATATTTATCTTACACCTACACTGCTCATATCTTACACTGATGATACAAAACACTGTACACAGGTCGGACATCTTCATCTTACAGCTACATTGTTCACACCTTACACTGATGATACAAAACACTCGATACATCATCTATGCATGCAGTATGGCTGACAGCAACATGACGGGTGTACAGGGAATCACAAGAACTGACAGCAATATGGCGGGTGTACAGGGAATCACAAGAACTGACAGCAACATGGCGGGTGTACAGGGAATCACAAGAACTGACAGCAATATTGCGGAAGTACATTGGGAATCACAAGAACTGACAGCAACATGGTGGGTGTACAAGGGAATCATTAAGAACTGACAGCAACATTGCGGGTGTACAAGGAATCACAAGAACTCACAGCAACATTGCGGGTGTACAGGGAATCACAAGAAATGACAACAACATGGCGGGTATACAGGGAATCAGAAGAACTGACAACAACATGGCGGGTGTACAGGGAATCACAAAACTGACAAATCAACATGGCTGGTGTACAGGGAATCACAAGAACTCAAAGCAACATGGCGGGTATGCAGGGAATCACAAGAACTGACAGCAACATGGCGGGTGGACAGGGATCCCAAGAACTGGTTCTTCACACATTAGATATTGCCATGATTTCGTAACAACTGACAGTTCTAACACAGTTGTGTGTATGTGTGGAGAGTTGTCTGCTCACTACAAGACACGTGACATTGTCTCCACCCACTCGTGTGTCAGGTCTATAGTGGGTTGCAAGGATGTAAGCATGGTTGAAATATTACCAGGTGCGTTAGGAAATATGAAACATATTTTCTCCAATTTTAGTTTTGATCATAAGTCACAACAAGTATGATTTTTCTAATCCTAAATTATCAACAGGTTCGACCAGTGCCATGACATTCACATACGTATTAGGTATTACGTAGTTTGCTTACACAATAAACAAAAGAATCTGTATAGAAAAGAAAAGATGAAGTTTTAGACAATGTTTAAATGTATGTTTCCTTCCAAACAGTAGTAAGGAAGTCCCAAAGAATATCTATAAGAATACATGTATATAAATTAGAGAGAAAAACCCAAATATACGCCATTTGCTGGGATCTTTGTCTTAGTTCAGTTCTTAAAACCTTCTTCATATTCTGCTAATCATTTCAATTTCTTTAGCATTGTTATTTCAAACCCTTTCATACAAAACAGACTTCCACCATAAACCACTCGTTATAACGATCGCACTTTATACACATGTATGCGGCGTGAATCACTGCTTGTACCCCATGGTACCCGGGTTACGAGTGATCGCAAACAGGTTTGCAGAAAAATATTGCTACCAATGACAACAGTTAAACGATTCTGACTGTATTTACGGAGTTACTCCAGGTTGATAGTAAGATTTTCTATTTTATCAATAAATCAGAATATCATGTCCAATGTTGAGCGATGTCTTTTGATGACTTGACCATTTAGACATCTTTAATGTTGAGAGAAAAATCGACTCCAGCTGAGCATTATGCAATTCGGTTACACTTTTATAGAAATCAGAACTTTGTAGCACTTTTTATACAAGATAAACACCTGTCAAGACAGCTAGCCATGTGGTGACGTACTCATGTCACACAACAGTTCCTCAACTGACTTTGTTGATATTATTCTGAAACACATCTGATAACATTGTAGATGCATATATGTACACAATGACATTTCAACCTACCGCATCGAGCACAGGTCTGTTCCGTCCCCTTGTACAGAAGTTCCATCTCGCTTGGGTCACTGAAGGCTGGAACACAGAATAAATGATACGGGAACCACTACATGGACATCGTACGGGCAGGGACGTGGACGACATAGAGACAACTACACCATGTGCTGGATACACCACCCTTGTTACTGGAGGCATCAACACATATGTAAGCTGGAGCAAACTGGTATTACTGCTGGTATTAGGGGTCAGTAATTCCATTGACTGAGAATGATCCTTTGTAGATGACAGAAAGTCACTTTTCTAAATAATACTAAGCGTTATGCGGTTGAATAGCTTAGTTTGTACAGGAAAACTCATGACATGATTCTCCATGAAGTTCTTTACTTTTAGGTATATTATAAAGTCATTTTGTGCATGTAGTTTGGGATTTTTACAGTACGGATAAAAAAAGTAATACTGAACGGTATTCTAGAAACATCCGTTTCGAAACAAAACGTGAACATCTGGAAATAATTTGGTCATGTTTTCAACAGATCTCTGTCCCTCAGTATTGTTTAACATAACAGGATAACATAATTGAAAAGCACCGATGTTCGAACGCTTCTGTAATCGTTTTAACTATTAGAATTATAAAAGAAATAGATTTATTTTTCTTGTGTGAAGTAGTTTCGATGTTTGCACAACAATATGAAATGCTTCCAGGGTTCACAGAGTGCTTAAACTGCATCACTTTGCAACGGAAGGACCTGTTTGTATAAGCTTACAAGGTGCTGACATTCACCTGTTGTTTTATGTTACTTACAGGTAAGTACTCATTCAATACTTACCCCGCTTAGACCTGATAGTAGAACTCTTCTTCTTCTTCTTAGACCTGAAACTAAACAGTAAACAGTAATTAGTCTGGTATCGGGAAATGTAAATACAATCTTTAAATATACTTAAAATATATCCTCTGTTACACATTCAACACTTTTTGATTTTAGTCTAATGATTAAGAACTATTATTTGTCTTGTGCATTTATCAAAAGATAACATTGACACTTTGTACCAGATAAGGTGAAAGTCATTAAATACTGTAAAGTCCAGCCAAAACGCTTTCAAAGAACTATACCATTTAAATATAGGGATATTCCATTTTAGAAGCCATACTTTGTGCACGTATATGTATTTGAATACTTTAATAATGTATAAAATAAATCCATGTACAAGGTGTTTCGTGCTAACACGCCAATGTAAGCGTTTTTCATCCTATGCACCTGAACATGGTGGGGTGATATTTGAAGTTACAGTGACATTGAGATGTGACAACGGTTTTTGAATACCCTGTACTGTTTTCAAACAACTCCTTGAGTTAACTGCATCCATACCTCCTCCTGCACACCACGGAGATGAAGGCGATGTTGATGATGAGTGTGAGGACCACAGTGAAAAGTATTGATGCCAGCAGTGTTTCTTGACGGTCCTGATCTTCCTTTGTTTCGTGATAACTGCATTCTGTAAAAATAATGTATATGCCTCGATAATGCCAATTACTGCCAGAATACGGACTGCGCAACGGTCACACCAGTTAAGTGAAAACTAGCTGTTGTCACAGCGACCTATCTACTATAACACGAGATGCAGCACTGCCCTGTTCCTTGTTCAGTTCTTATTCCATATTTAGTTGAGCCCCTTCACAAAATGCACTATGAAACTGTACTTCTGAGGTGCATATTTTTATAACAGTTAAAATGTATAGACACCTCCATGGAGCAGGGATGCAGAATCATTTTCTATTATCATGTCAGTTCAACAACCTGGTTCATTTCGAGACGTTAAGATGAAAAATATCGCAGAAATGCAAATATATCTCTGAACACTGTTTAATAGGCTCTCGATATCTTGGGAGGGCGATAATCTGCCTGTCAAAATCATTCCATTTGCTATTAGTAAAGCAGTTACGAGGGTATTGTGTCATATATTTTTGTTTACTGTGTTCTGTACTACATTGCCAAAATGCCACAGGAGAACATGATTTTACTAACAGCTGGTAGCTGAACTTCAGAGAGCAGTAGCGTATTTCGACTCCAAACATGTCCAAACATGTCGATGTACGTACTTAGTTATCTCCCCTTCATTGTCCATAACAATGTACTTGCAATGGGGATTCAGTTTCGAAAACTCGATGCAGCTTTACTTAAATCATCATCAACCTTGAATGAGGGTCGTAAATGGCCTTCAAGGGTATCCCGGTGACAACCTTATTTTGAAACGCCACAGCAGCCATATTTAAGTCAATGTGATGGTTTAGAGCGGATCGAAGAAATACCTCGTGGCACTCATATATAGACCCACTCTATTATCCTACCTACTGGACATTTAGGACATTGAAAAATAATCATCGCTGTTTCAACAGGGATTCAGGTAGGACTGACTGCAGTATAGAACTTACAATGATTTACTCTGACATAAAACATATACAAACCCCACTCACGCTGAGATTCAGGGTAGGACTGACTGCAGTATAGAACTTACATTGATTTACTCTGACATACAACATATATAAAACACCACTCACGCTGAGGTTCAGGGTAGGACTGACTGCTGCAAACCTTGCATCCCGACCTGCACGTGTAGAACGTTTCTTCCTCTGCTGTCAGACATGAAGGGCACAGATGTTGACATTTGTCACCGAAATGTCCGAGTTGACATTGTTGACATTGACCAGTAAACCCATGACATGACTGAAAGACGGACAGACATGACATATTGCAGTGGGCGCCATAACGACCTGCTATACACCCTTCTAAACAGGTTCCTTCAACACTGCAGGCAAAGCCCTGACATTTCTGCAAGCAGGAATGTTCACACTTACTACTGTACAAATCAGCCCTGCACAGAGTACAGTTCTCACAGTGATGCCAGTCACACGCCAGACATCCATCAGGACAAGGTATTTTACAACGAGGTCCACAGTAGCCATCCTCACAGCCGTCACTACAGACGGTCTTCCCTGAGTTGGGGGTCCACCTGACATGTCGAGTTGACACACGTCTCCTGACAGTGGTGCTGGACAGTACTTGTCTGTGTAGCCTGTCTTACATCCTTCTGTGCATATTCCACGTGCATCACATTTCTCCCTTTACAGTTCTGGCAGGGCTTAGATCCAAGCAGAGGGCTGAAGGAAACTGAAAACAGAAATGTTGTAAATGACGTAGTCTCTATTGCTGACAGAGCAGAACACTTCCCTACAAAGACATACATACATCACTACAGTGAGGAGTGAATGAGTGAGTGAGGGAGTCAGTGAGTGAGTGAGTCAATGAGTGAGTTAAGATCTTACATTGGCAGTATTTCAGCCATATCGTGACTAAAACAAGTTATAGATTCATAATAAAGTCAGCCTTGTCAACGAAGGACAGTAAAACAACTAGGCGATCACTGATATAGATATAGAACCTTTTTAACTATAGAAGACAATACAATATACAAACGGACAGATTCTGGCCAAAGCATTCGAAACGCCTAGGTGTTATGGTATAATGGGAATCTTGTCATGACCCGGAATGTCTATCTGTACAAGGATTTCTTGTTACTAGATGTAGTCATTGTTTTATTTTATTGACACATATAAGGCATATGACATACATTATTTAATTAACAGTCAACCAGAGCTAAAGAGAGGTTGCGGGAACGTACCTATGATTAGGAAGCTGTAACTCAACCTGAGCAGCATATTGGTTGTTCTAAAACAAACAGGAAATTTATTGAGTTCGCATTTGCACGTCACAACCCAGTAGCCCCATAACGATTCTTGAGCAAGTTATCAAGGCTGTGAGGATGTGGTGATTGCTATCGGTAATTCCCAGTGTCAGATTTGATATTTTATTCTAACCCAAACCAAGGCCATATATGATCATGACTTAAATGTATGTTAATGTTTACCATCACCTGTTAAGTCCAACATACCTGCTACTGGTCATGTGTCGTGAGTCTAATTCAGTTGTGGCTATCTACAACAAAGCAAATATCATCAATGTTTTGTATTGTTTTTATGAAGTTTTCGTTACTATGAGGACGAGCCATTTGACGACTTCACACAGTCTCTGTCAAACCACAGTCCTGAATGAAGGACAATACCTGCTGCAACATACGGAAACAATACAATGTGGACTGTTTGAATTTACATTTCTTCAAAAGAGGAAATATTATCAATATTCAATATATCAATTTCAATATAATCAATTTCCGTCACGTATACCACTATCCTACATAAAGAAAACAACTGAATACCTTGATACATTTTGTTTGTAAAGGCGGAGAGAGCATTGATGGGGTAATCTATATTCAGAGGTTCAGGAACCCGTGAAGATCCGGGTTAGAACTGGCCTTCAGTAACCTATGTTTTCGTAAGAGGCGACTAACGGGATCGGGTGGTCAGGCTCGCTGACTTGGTTGATTACATGTCATCTGTTCCTAATTGCGCGGATCGATGATCATGCTGTTGATCACTAGATTGTCTGGATATATTGCTGAGTGTAGCTTAAAACTAAACTCACTCACTCACTACCTCAGAGGTTCAGGACAATGTTTCAAGCATGAAATTAATGTCATCTGATGTTTGATCAGAAAGCAATAAAGAATACAGGACTTAGTCATTGATAACATCTTTTCAAAACACCAAACGATTGATTACGACGTTGGCACACCCGTGCGGAGCAGTGGTGCTGCTGATATCTTTGTTTAAGCATTTGAATTTGACCAAGAAATTGAACTTAAGCTTCAGGTTTCACCAGGATCTGATATCCTTCCAGTAACCATCAATTAACCAACTGCCACGGATATAACCACCAGAACTAGAGGAAGAGAGACAAGTCAACTCTTTCATATTTGGATCTGTGCATAAGGATTCAGAGTGGCAAATCATTATCACAAAGGCAGTGTGACAACTTCTCTATGGTCAGCTTTTTCCTCTTTGTCGAGATTCAATGCTACAGTAAAGGCATCAAAATGGTTAGGATAATTTCCAATGATTAACAAACACGAGCACATGATATAGCATTTGACTGAAATTTCATGTGAATGTTTAGATGTTTTAATAAAAACTCCAACATACCTGCTGAATCATTGACCGTTAGTTAACCTGTAGTTTTCTGGCGTGTTTGGCTGTGGAGTTCCTCCTGGAATAGACATGATACGAAATATTACCATTAAGATCATGCTTTGCTAAAATAGTCCTTACATGAAAGAAATAAAGTCATTGCTCGTTAACCTAATGTGTTTCTAAGCTTACCGTGTGTGTCGAAAAACTTCAACTTGACGAAAAGACCTCTGGAAATAAACGAAATTACATTTTACAGTTAGTTTATAGTTTACTCTGTGTCACACACATCTGTATGATACAATGCTAAAACAGTCATATTAAAATGTACATAAAATACAGATGTCCGGCCATAAGGCCTATGAGACACATTATTTATCAATAAAACAATAGTATGCGATAAAATGACTTTCAGATATTAAAACAAAATAAAAGCGACATATATGAAGGGTTGGTGGAGGGCACTGTATGCAATCATGTGGCTGCTCGACGCCTCTTTATAGCTAAGGACATAAGCCATGATAACGTATAAACATCTATTGACAGACGAGTTTGTGTATTTGGTCATGGACCATGTGCAATCATCTATGAATGTCGTCAGGATAAGAGATGATCGGTGATAATCTAACGTCATATTCTGCATTCATTTTGCATGAGAGACACAAAATCAACTTTATGTGAATGGTACTTTTGGAGTATCTATTGATATAACTGGCCAAAAGGGATACATAGCTTGAACATATTTTATGCGTTTCTTCCAGTTATTACATTTGGAACACATGCTGTATTTGAGGTTACACTTTGACCAATACTTTCTAACTGGCATTGTGTATTCATGAGATACAATTGAGGGGTCACGGTGTCAACTAAGAATAAACTACTCACATGAAAACAATTGCAGCTGTCAATGCTATCGCCAAGGAGATGCCTCAGTGCCAAGATAGTGTTGTAGTGGCTGCCACCTTCATTGGCAGGGAACTATTGACCACGTATTATGAAACAATCAGTCATTCATTTGTTAACAAACAGTTGTTCAAGACAATGATTTTGGGTGATTGAGGCGCAAACGCCTCCATCGTTCTAATCGGTTTGAATTTGTCACTCATGTTAAATATCTCTTTATAATATACACTTGGATTTTTCAAACAAACTTTCAGACATTGATACTTAATCTCTTTGTATTTTGGCAATTCTAAATGACCATAGCTATAGCAATCTGGGAGACACGTGACCATGTAAGTAATCTCGACATCATTGTCCCGCTGAAGCGGAACCCAGTTTTCTATAATCTCTATTCTAAACATATTCTGTGTTTTACTGATAAAACCATTAATAAACTGATACGCTTTCAATTCAAGAAAATAGTACATGTAATAGAGCACACTATACTTGTTCGGTGAATAATTTCGAATTGCAGAATCGGTAAATCCATTTTAGTAGCACCCATCAGGTTTCTCTTGGAAATTCGCGAACGGCCGATTGGTTTCTTAGAATCGATTCCAGAGGCGTTTTCAGTAATAGTAGCGCGAGTGCTGAGCGCTGAGCGTGCATGTTATACCGTCTTAGTAATCACCGTGCGAACCCACGCGCGCTTATTGAAACGAGTAGGATTTGGACTACAGGGATTGGTGAATTTCTTTGAAAGGGTAGGATTGACATGTTTTAAAAAATAAGCTGGGGCCAGTGTGTGTTTGTGTGTGTGTGTATGAGTGTGTGGAGTGAGTGAGTGACTGAAGAAGGAGTGAGTGTGTGTGTGTGTGAGAGAGAGAGAGTGTGTGTGTGTGTGTGTGTGTTGGTGCGTTTGTATATCAACATTTTGATGACTCGTTACAATCCGACATAAAACAGAAGCAATATATGGGACCATGTTTCCTCAGTCCGTCACTTGTGCTTCATTTCCAGACATGGTTAGACATGACAAAGACCTATGATATGAAAGATATCTACTGGAGATGAGAGTACCGGATTTGCGATGCGAGTTCCGATCTCTAATAGATGAAAGTCTCAAATAGTCCAAAGGTATGGTCATCGTGATGTTCTTGAAATGAGCTTCCCTCAACCTGATCTCACGTCCTTCTCTCTAAATTTACTCAGGTACCTCCAACGTTGCCTTTTTTAGGCTTTTCTTTTTTCATTGTCATTCTATATTGGGACTTAGAGCGGAAAAAGACGAATTGTTCTACTTATTGAGACACGTTGGACAATTTAAATTAGAGATGATAACAACTAGTGTTGTAAATCCTTGATCATATTGTGAGTTTCAACACTGGTCTCTCATGCTGCACACAAACACTGAAAGTATTGACGTACATCCTGCTTGACATCATGCAGGGCTAAGAAGTACTGTAAAACCCCATGGTCCCCACTAAGGTGGTCGAGCATCGGTTGCTTGTGGTCAGTGGCTTGACTTGTAGTTTTGTTTGATATCAAAATGATCTGTCGTTTCAACATCAATGCGGTTTCTTTTATGGCGAAACTGTATCGCTTCCCGTGTTGTTTTCCTGTCCTTCATAGACGGGTATTACGAAAGTAACTTTGTTCTTATGACAATATCAATATCAACCTTGGGATATCATATAAGGTAAGAAAGTAACTGTGTTCTCATGACAATATCAACACCAACCTTGGGATATCATATAAGGTAAGAAAGTAACTTTGTTCTCATGACAATATCAACACCAACCTTGGGATATCATATAAGGTAAGAAAGTAACTTTGTTCTCATGACAATATCAACACCAACCTTGGGATGTCATATAAGGTAAGAAAGTAACTTTGTTCTCATGACAATATCAATACCAACCTTGGGATATCATATAAGGTAAGAAAGTAACTTTGTTCTCATGACAATATCAATACCAACCTTGGGATATCATATAAGGTAAAAGTAACTTTTTCTCATGACAATATCAACACCAACCGTGGGATATCATATAAGGTAA